AGTATCTATTTAAATATAGCTGACAGATGGGCTTAAGTATATCCGCAAAAACAACAAAATAAATATTCAAAAAAGAGGAAAAATAAATTGAAATTGATTTTTTGAGATTTTTTGGAGTTTAAAAATTAGACTGACAAGGAGGTACTACTCCTGACAGATAGGGAGGTCTGTACTACCTCCTGACAGCCTCCTGATACTACCTCTACACCTCCTAACAGTACAGGGAGGCTGCCTAAATAACCCCCAATTTAAAAATACCTCATTCTAAGATTTATAATTTTTTCAGTTCCAAGAAGGATATTATCTTATAGCTAGGTTCAACTGTATTTTAAATAAAATTTATTTTTGCCTCTAAAAGTGTAAACATTAAAGAAAAAAAATTTTTTTTTGATGAATGACCATTAATACATTAAAAATGTATAAATATTAAAAATATATAATGAACAGGGGAGCCCAATAATCCCCCTCCTCCTCCGCGCAATTGGCAAACATTTTCACACAAAATCCTTTTAAAAAGGCCAAAATCTGAAGAAAAGGATTGATGGTTTTGTGACCTTAACAAATATTTTGAACATTTTTAATAGAAAACATTTTTATTGTGTTTGGGTTGGCAAGTAAATAAAAGGAAGGATTTATTTGAGGTAGGAAAATATTTATTTTAAGAGAGAGGGATTTTTGGGATAAAATATCCTCTCAAGGGGGAAATGAAAAGATTTCTTTGAAAATTGGATCTTGGAAGCCCAGAGAGAGTTTGGAACAATTTCCAGGTTCCTAACTCTCTCTGGGCATTTTAATTTCAAGGCTCCGGCTTCGGACAATTCAAAATCTTAACTAAGTCTCCGGTAGAGAGCCTTACGTCTCCATCTCTCTCCCATCCGGAGCTAGCTCCTGAAGACATGCTCAGAACTGCCCAGACCCTAACAGAACTACCCTAATACCTCCCTAATACCCAATAATTTCCCAAAAAGACAAATGACCTCCAAAAACACCAAAAAATCCAAAAAAAGCGCCAGATGGGCGGGGATGACAAAAGACGGATGACAAAGGAGGGTATAAAGGGACCCAAACAATTGTAACCACTCAAATTTGTGTTCTCGCCTTGTGTGAGGTCGCGGTGCTTTTTTTCTTAGCATGTTCAAGGCCAAGATTGAGAACGTTTGAAAGAATGAATATTTTGAGGGGAAAGCTTATTTTGTATGCCAAATAAGAAGAGAATGGTTGAAAATAAAATAAAATTTTTTAAATTAATTTTAAAATGAATTTAATAGACGGGCTCTCATTTACCAACCAAAAGGGAGAGAGAGAGAATTACAGTATGCCCCAAATTTAAAAAACCCTCAACCTCTCGTTTTTATATACACTTCGTTTTTAAAATGATTTCATGACCCTGAAGGTGTGTTTACAAGCTAGGTTCGACTATTAATATTTTTTAGAGGTAGCAACAGGTGTGGAATTTTTTAAATAAAATCCCGTTTAGAAAAAATGATTTATTTTTAAAATAAAAAAGGAAAAAATGAAATAAATGGACAAAATTATAGCTAATTATTTTATCTCTTTTTTGGTCAAAGAAAGAAGCGCTGCAGAACGCTTTTGCCTTATAATTATTAGAAAAAAAAATTTTTTCTCGTTTTTATTATTTAAAAAATTAGAATTTTTGTCAATAAATAATATTCAAAAATTAAATAAAAAATTTTTTTTCCAATTTTTCTGATCAAAAGAAAAAGAGCCGCCTATTAATTTTCACTTTTTCGCAAGCAACAACCAGTCGTAGTCCATCCACAATAACTATGGATATTTTAATACAATAAAGATGAAATTTTGAGATTTATTAGATAACATGTTAGAGAATAAAAATACAAAATTTTGGATTTTTAAAAAATATATGAACAGAGATATGAATTTTTGAATGAATAAAGTCGCGCATTGGTGTAGGGATAAATAAATTTAAGTTCGGTTTTAATTAGGAATTTTTAAAGTTAATTAATTTTGTCAGATTTTACTCGTTTCTAGAGTTGTTAAAAAAATATTTAAATATTTTGAGAGAAAATAAAAAAATATTTAAAAAAATATATAGTTGGTAGGTGAACAAACATATGGGTAAACTTGATTGTATAGGGGTATCTTTATAAATTTATTTTGACAATAAAATAAAAGAAAAAACTTTTTTATTTTTAATAAAGATTAAATTAAACATTTTTTTTATATTTATTTAGTATCAACTGATTTTTATTTTACCGTTTTGTTGCGCAAAATTTAGGCATATGTACATACATAAATGAATAATAATTAAAATTCTGGGGAAGGGTGAAGGAAAAAAAATATTTTTTAGGGGATAATAAAACTTTTTTTTTGTATTTTTCTATTATATCAAAATAAACTTGAAAACACAATAGAAAAAAATAAAAATACAAAAAAACACATTTATTTTAATTTTGCAACTTTTCTAATTTCATATACTCTGCGCGCGGCCAAAAAGCTCGTAGGCAGAAAAACATGTAATATGGGTAACTAGAAATTCTATAACTTTTGAATAAATAAAGATAAAAATCTAAAATAAAAAGCAAAAGAAAGAGGAGATTCTATACTACAAAAAAATTGAAAAATAAAATTTTTAATAAATCGGTTAGAAAATTTATGAATTTTTAAAGGCAAATTTAGTCATATTTTAGACATATTTTTTGCTTTTTTTTGACTAAAAATAAAAAAAGAATACAAAAACTAAAAAGTGACAATTGTAACATTAAAAACAGGTCCAATAAAGTTATGCGCTCATTAAAAGCGGCTGTCTACTATAAAAATAACAACAACAACAAAACATTAGGTAATCAAAAGATTAGCGCATATTTAGCAAATTTTATGTGTTTTTTGTGGAACAGGGGAAAAACAATAAATTAAAGATTTGTGAAAACAAGTTAAAAATAAATTAAAAAAATAATTTTTTACTTAATAAACTATTAAAAAATTATTTAATAACAGGCCAGACATAAAGAGAGAACGTTAAAAAATTATTTAAAGGAAAGACAAGCATAGAAAAACACTTAAAATGAAAGGACAAAAGGAATAATGGAAGCAGGCCATATGTGGACTCCGTGGCGCAACGGTAGCGCGTCTGACTCCAGATCAGAAGGTTGTGTGTTCGAATCACATCGGGGTCAAAAATTTTTATTTTTGTTTAAATTGTTAAACAAATTAAGGAAAATGTTCAAATGAATTTTTAGACGAGTAATAGATTATTTTTTAGTATAAAAATTCGAAAAAATTTAATTCTATTTAACTTTCTTCTGGAAAAAATTATTTCTGGGAAAAATCGAGACTTAGCTTATCCTGGCACCTTTTCCTACCCATAACTATTTTTAAACTTCTCGGAAAATTGCCAAATTATAGGAATAATTAAGGGACATGTCAAAGAATATTCTTACAAATTTGGGTGATTTTAGGATTATTTTAAATATTATTATGAATTTTTAATTTCTTAAATTCAAGGAAAATTTTGATATTTTCATAATTTATTTTAAAAAGAAGTCCAAAAAAATCTAAAAAATTCTTCAAATTTTTTTATATAATACTGAAAATGAATAATACAATCAAGTGATAAAAGCATCCAATTTGGATTAAAATTGTATAATGCAAATCATAAATTATAAGTAGGGTTGCCGTTTTCGAGTCGGGCCGACGGTCGAGGCATTTTTTTTCGGGCTTGTTTTTATCGAGTCGGGCCGGTACGAGTCTTTTTCGGGCCTTACTTTATCGAGTCGGGCCGATACGAGTCTTTTTCGGGCCTAACTTTATCGAGTCGGGCCGGAACGAGTCACTTTCGGGCCTGACTTTATCGAGTCGGGCATCGAGACATTTTCGAGTCTTTTTTTAAAAGATTTATTTAAAAATAATTAGTGGATTTGGAGGGATATCTTTGAATTAAAAGGTATATCGATGGATCTGGAGGGTAAAGGAAGGGCTGAAGAGAATTGAAATGGATATCAGTGGATTTGAGGGATTAAGGTGATTTAAATTATCGGAGGATTGGGGTGAGATATTGCTAGATTTGGTTTTATTAAAGGAGATCAGATGATTAAGGGGATCAGGATCGCATATCAGATAATTAAGGTGCTATATTGTAATGGGATTTAAAAGGATTGAAGAGATTTGAATGGATATCGGAGATTTGAAGGATAACGCAAGATTTAAGTGATATTGTGCGTTAATCACCAAATCCCTTAATAAAATCCCAGTGTACCATGATTGAACTATTCGTATTTAGATAAGGGCTTACTGGAAAGTCAGGAAACCAGATTTCTTCTATTTTTAGCGCCGCAGGCGAAAATTTTGAGAATTTTGACCCCCTGGAAAATTGTGGACTCTCAAAACTGATTGAGTTTAAAAAGTTCAAATGATGATGAGATCCCGCGGAATATATCCTATAAATCCCAGTAATCCAGCTTATCGATTAAAGCCAGTAAGTTCGAGATGTGAAGTAAAGTATGGAGCTAAAAATTCTTCATTTCAGCGCCGCAGGCAAAAATTTTGAGATATTCGGAAGGCTAAGGACCAAATTTCTTCCTTTTTCAGCGCCGTAGGCGAAAATTTTTCGAATTTTGGAAGGCCAAGGAGCCAGATTTCTCCCATTTTTGTCCACAAATCTGGTAAAAATATTATCGAGTCTTGTTCGAGTCGGGCCGACTTTTTCCGAGACAATTTTTTTCGGGCCTGTTTTTATCGAGTCGGGCCGGTACGAGTCACTTTCGGGCCTAACTTTATCGAGTCGGGCCGTTACGAGTCTTTTTCGGGCCCAACTTTATCGAGTCGGGCCGGTACGAGACTTTTTCGGGCCAAACATCGAGGCATGACTCGATCTTTCGGTCCGAGTCGGTCCATTTTGGCAACCCTAATTATAAGGCAATGAATATTACATAGTTTCCGAATTTTCTTTAAATTTGTTAAATTTATTCATTGCCTTGAGACAAAAAGATAATGGAAAAATGTTTAAATAATTCTCAAAAAATTCAATCAACTTCCTCAACTTTAGGACCCCCAGCATTTGCATAATTGCCATAATTTGCACCTCCACCTCCTTGAGGAGCTCCACCACCTTTAAATTTTTAAGGTAACTTTCTGACTTTTTATTGCTTAGTTGAGAGGTCCAAGAGATTATTTCTTGGGTTGGTCTTGAGGTTGAAGTCTTGGTCCGAGTCTTATTTTAGAAAATTTCCCTTCTTGGACCTCCCTACTATTCAATTTAAATTTTTATTTACCCCCTCCTTGATGAAGCTTTGCCATAATTTTGGACAAAACTCGTTGTGATTCTTTCAACTGATCGTCATACTCATCCTTTTCCGCCGTCTGATTAGAATCCAACCAACGCAAAGTCTTATCAACAACTTCCTTGGCTTGATCACGATCTGCCTGGGGAAGTTTGTCCCCATAATCCTCCAAACTATTTTTGACCTAAAGAAATTTTTTTGAAGGAAGAAAGTCACAAAGAGGAGCTACCTGATACAAATATTGCTCCAATTTATTGCGAGAATCAACCCTTTCCCGTTGTTTCGCATCTTCAGCCTCAAAACGCTTTGCCTCGTCAAGCATTCGTTGAATTTCTGATTGGCTAAGCCGCCCCTTTTCATTTTTAATTTGGATTCGATTAGATTTCCCTGTTGATTTGTCCAATGCAGAAACATGCAAAATCCCGTTAACATCCAAATCAAAAGTAACTTCAATTTGGGGAACGCCTCGAGGGGCTGGAGGGATGCCGTAAAGATCGAAACGTCCCAAAAGGTTGTTGTCCTTAAAAATTGGGAATTTTTGTATTAAATAGATAAAAAAACTTTTTGGTTGACCTTACTCTAAAATATACCCTTGGAGCTGAAAAATAATGAGGTGTAGCTTACATTAAGGGTATTTTCGCTTAGCCAGCTCCCCCACCTAGTACCAGCTAAGTTTTAAAAACATATCTTAGAGGTTTATTTATTTTGTGGATATCCTTGGGGTTGAAATAGGGGGTGTATCTCAAACGGGAGAGGGGGGGGGATGATGAGGCTATCAGTATATAAAACGGGAGGTGTATCAGAACGAGAGAGAGGGGCGCCCCCTGCCATTGCCAACATAATTTCCACACCTATCCTAAAATGAGGTGCATCCATCTTTTGGGGATATCCTATAGTAAGGCCCTACTATTAATCTCCAATTTGTTCACCTTAGTCAAAGCTCTTTCTCCCTCATAAACTTGTATAGTAACAGCCGGTTGATTATCCGAATACGTAGTAAATGTTTGTGAAGTTTTGTGAGGAATTGTAGCGTTGCGTTCAACAAGTTTGGTCATCACTCCCCCAGCCGTTTCTATTCCCAAAGAAAGTGGAGTAACGTCAACGAGAAGAACATCCTTTGTTGTCTCATCCCGAACCCCGGACAAAATAGCCGCTTGTACAGCAGCCCCATAAGCAACTGCCTCATCAGGGTTAATAGAGAGGTTCAACTCTCTATCGTGGAAGAATTCCCGCAACAATTTCTGAACTTTGGGAATACGTGTTGAACCCCCAACCATTACAATCTCGTCAATTTTGCTCTTATCAAGGCGGGCATCTCTGAAAATTTTTTGAATTAGAAGCATTTTTCGGCACCCTTAATTACCTCAATGCTTGTTCAACGGGCTCCAAAGTCTTCTTAAACAACGGAGTGCAAAGCTCCTCAAAACGGGCTCGACTAATTTTTGTGTGGAAATCGATTCCTTCAAAAAGAGAGTCGACTTCCAACTGAAAAGAAAAATTTTTCAGAAATTTTAAAAATTTCCTAGAGACATACAGTAGCCTCAGTCGAACTGCTCAAAGTGCGCTTAGCACGTTCCGCTGCCGTTCTCAAACGGCGAAGAGCACGGGGGTTGTTACTAATGTCACGACCTTGTTTACGCTTGAATTCCTTAAAGGAAAATTAAATTTTTTTGATTAAAAAAATTTTTAAGTACTTGTTTAAAGTGCTCAACAAGCAAATTATCAAAATCCTCTCCCCCCAAATGTGTATCGCCAGCAGTTGATTTAACTTCAAACAAGGAACCTTCAGCAATCGACAAGACGGAAACGTCGAAAGTACCACCTCCAAGGTCGAAAATGAGAATATTCTGAAATTGAAATTTTTTTTGAAAATTTTTGCCAATTCTCTACCTGATCCCCCCTCATTTTCTTATCCAATCCATAAGCCAAAGCAGCAGCCGTCGGTTCATTTATAATTCGCAATACATTAAGCCCAGCAATCTGACCAGCGTCTTTAGTTGCTTGACGCTGTCCGTCGTTAAAATAAGCTGGAACAGTGACTACTGCATCTCGAACTGGATGGCCAAGATAAGCTTCGGCTGTTTGCTTCCTATGAATTTCAAAAACTAGTCAAATATTGCATTAAACAAACTTAAGGGCTCTACTTTAGGACATGCGCCCGTTTTAAGCGCGCATGTCCATCAGAGCATAGGTGCCCAAAAAATAGAATAAGATCCCCAAATATAAAGCTTTTCAAATCCCCCGATATCCCTCCTAAGCCACCCTACATAAGCCCCGAACCCCAGAGATATTTTAACCCCACAGACTTGCTTGTAAGAAAATTCCCAATGTCTCCCACAGTTCCCCCAAATCTACCAATCCCCACAAGACGACTTAATCCCCTCAAAAATCCTTCAGCTATCTCTTAATTTTTGTTAAACTTAAAAATAAAAAGCTCACATTTTTGTAAGAACCATTGAAGAAATTTCTTCAGGAAGAAACGTCTTCTTTTCTCCCTGGAATTCAACCTGAAAAATTATAAATTAAATTGCTTTATAAAGAAATTCTCTCTCTCACTTCAATAGTTGGACGTCCAGTTTTGTTGAGCAATTTAAACGGCCAATGTAACATATCCTTTTGAACTGTCGGATCATCCCATTTACGGCCTATCAAACGTTTAGCATCGAAAATGGTGTTTTGGGGATTTCGAGCTGAAAAACAAGAGAAATTATTTTGAAGAATAATTTTTCCAAAATTAAATTCTAGAGCCATCCAAAGCCTTTAAGGTCTTAAAAGATCCAAGCTCCAAGTCTCTAAGTTTCTCTAACCCCTCTCAAAGGTCCAAGGTCTCAAGACTTTTTTGTAGGGTTTTTCGGTCTTGCCCTCGAACTAAGATATTGGCTTTTCCAAAATTTAAATTTCTGAGCTGTAAAAGGCTCTAAGGTCTCAAAAGATCCAAGGCCAAAGTCTCTAAGGCCTCTCTAATTCCTCACTAAAGTCCAAGGTCTCAAGACATTTTTTAAGGGGTTTCTTGCCCTCGAACTGAGGTATTGGTCTTGGAACATTCTCGGTCTCGGACAGCTCTATTAAATATTCAAACTACCCACCCATCTGATCCTTTGCAGGATCCCCAATCAAACGTTCAGTGTCAGTAAACGCAACAACCGACGGAGTTGTCTTGTTGCCCTGATCATTGGCGATAATCTCCACCTTTAATTTAATTTTTAAATAACAAGCAAAAGGGGCATGCCTTTCCGTGTTGATAAACACCAACACAACTGTAGGTTGTGCCCAAATCAATCCCTATAGCTTTGCAGGAAGCCATAATAAAATAATTTTGGGGTTGTTTTAAATAGAAGAAAAAAAGATTTTTTAAAAGTATAGCTGAAAATTGGGGAAATTTTTTAATAAAATTAAACGAGAAAAAAAAATAAAAAAAAATAATAAAAAATAAATATATTTAAATAAGCACAAAGTATACAAATAAATAAAAATAATCTCTCACTCACTCAGTTGTTTGTGTTTACTGACAGCCTCCCTCTCTCCCCTTTGCTTATATTCACTTTGTTTCTTTTTCTAGAAGTTTCAGGAACCTTCCGGAAAGTTCTAGCAAATTCCTTTAGTTTCTCTCTATTTTTAAACAGTTGAAAAAGAAAGAAAAAAATCGTATCCCCTCAAAATCTCTATTCCTTAAAATCTCTACTGGGCTAAAATGCCTTATAATCTCTACACAGCTAAAATGCATTAAAATCTCTACTCGGCTAAAAATTATTAAAATAACTATTCCTTAAAATCTCTATTCCTCATAATCTCTACACGGGTAAAACGCCTTAAAATCTCTACACGGCCAAAAATAGGATAAAATGTCTATTTTTTCATTTGGAAGCCTTTTGAGTGCCAACGTTCAGTGCGGAAACGTTGTTCTGATTTCTGGCTTATCTTTTGATGTTATTTTGCTTGTATTGTTTTTGCCGCTGCGGATGAACCCAGGCATGTCCAGCGGAACGACAGCAGCCGCTTCGATACGATCACCGCAAGCAAAATGAACACGACCGCAGCGAAGCAGTCGTGTATTATATCTTCGATATTTACGGCGGATACAAGCAGATATCCGCAGCCATTTTTAAATCAATTGTATCCATATCCGTATCCATTACCAAGTCTGGGTTTTCCAATGAAAAGTTCATATTTTACACTTTTGTTGAGACTCTACCATCCATTTGCACGGTGTAGAGATTTTAATTATTTTTACCCCAGTAGAGATTTTAAGGAATAGTTATTTTAAGGAATAGAGATTTTAAGCATTTTTAGATTAGTAGAGATTTTAAGGAATAGCGATTTTAAGGAATAGAGATTTTGTATGGGAGCCAAAAAAATAAAGGGATAAGAGAACAGCTGAAAATAAGGCAAGAGAATATTTGAGAATTTTCGAGAATAATTTTGAAAAAAGAAAATAACAACAAAAATATTAGAAGAGTCATGGGAGTTACTATTTATGACTTTTTTTAAAAATTTAAACTAAAAATTTGTAGGAAATAATAATTTTTATTAGTAAAAATAAATAGAAAAAAGTTTAAAAGGGTTTTCTAAAGTTTGACCATTTTGAGCCCTTGTAACCTGTAATTCTTGATATTTTTAAATCTCTGAAACTCTCTAAAAAATTCTATAGGCAAATTTTGGTTTCATTCGGCCCAGCTCGATGAACTCTTTCGATCTAACGAGCTCTGACCATTTTGTACATCCTTAACAAAAAATAAACGTAGAGGAGGGGGAGGACGGCATAATTACCAAAAAAGAATTAGAAAAAAGAGTCCTTTAACCTTTTATGTTACTGCTAGGCCTTGACGTCTTTAAATCTTAATAACTTTTGATTAAACAAAGCTAAAAAGTAAATCGGAAATGTTTAAATAAAGTAAAAATGCTGGAAAATTCTTTTTTTTTAAATAAAAGGTTGGTAGTGTTAATGTGTGCGCACAACGAAAATAACTTTTTATGATTCACAGCCAAAATTAAAAATAGTTGGAGTGAAGGACGAAAAAAATTTTAAACAAAAAATAATTTAAAAATATTTTTATTTAATTAATTGATTTTCCAACTTTTGTTTTTAAAAAAATTATTTTTTTGTTTACGTGAATTTTTGATGTTTTTAGTATACTTTAGCTGAACAAGGGTGTTTCTATTTTAAAAGTAGAAAATGGTAAATAAAATTGGAGAAGAACTTTGGAGGAGAGCCACGAGATAATTTACTACATTTAAAATTAGGAGTAACCTTGTTGCCAAATATGTAATTTTTTGGAACTAGAAGAAGCGAAAAACACAAAACAAGAAGAACTGTGACTTTAAATATTTTTTTATTAATTCAACAGTTATTTAGTGTCCCTACAGTCTATTAAAATTCATGAATGGAAGATGGAATCTTGGAATAATTTCAAAACTAGGCACAAACGAATGTGCTTTCATCCAACCAGATAAGGCAATATTTTTAACCAGCCGCCCTATGTATATCCAGTAGTGATGCTCGGGTATCCCGATCCCGACTCCCGACTCGGGAAAATTTCCCGAGTTTTTGGCCTCCCGATCCCGATCCCGACTCCCGGTGTCAATTCCCGACTAAGTCGGGAAATTTTTACACCCCTAAGAATGGATTTTTTCTGACAAAATTATATTTTCATTATGAAAAATGAAGAAATCTGGCCTCTTGGTCTTCTAAAATTCCCAAAATTTTCGCCTGCGGCGCTAAAAAGGGAAGCTTTTTGGCTTAATGATCTTCTAAAATCCTCAAAATTGAAGAATCTGAAATTGAAGAATCTGTTGAGTTGTAGTAAAGCAGATTTCGGTGATTTACTAGGATTATGGTGAATTTGAAGGGATAACGAGGGATTTGCAGTAATAAAGAGAGATATCTATGGATGACTAATGTTGCATAGGGGGTGTTAATACTATGTAGGGGATATGAAGAGATATGTGGCTAGTTCACCAAAATTCCACCAAAATTGAACGTACAAATATTTTTCTGTTTCACTCTCTATTCCTCTATTTCACTCCAATGGAGAGATTCTAAGGACTTAAGGTCAATGACAACAACTATAAATCAAAGCAGGGCTCTGGCTCAAAGAAAAAGCCCCCAACAATACCCAACACTGGTTATCTCTGCGGTTACTAGGTTTTTTGGACAGGCTGTTGGCTTATCTTTCCAAATAATCGTGGAAATATACTCTTAAGTTACCCTTAAAGAGCGTTCAAAACTCCTTTCTATTTCACTCCAATGAGAGTCAAAATTTTTGGCTACGGCGCAAAAAAATGAAGAAATTTAACGTCTTGACTTAAAAATTCTCAAAATGTTTGCCTGCGGCGCTAGTAAGGCTTTTTTAGCTTCCAAAATTTTCCATATTTTTGCCTGTGGTGAGAAAAATCGGAATTTTTGGCGCCGAAGGCGCCAAAAATTTTTGGAAATTTTGGAAAATTTTTTTATTGCTAATTCCCGACTCCCGATCCCGACTCCCGAGGTCATTTCCCGACCCGACTCCCGTTTCCCGATTCCCGGGTTTTTTCTTCTCCCGAGCATCACTAATATCCAGTAAGATTGTCGGATCCGAATATCCGGATCTGGAAAAGACTGGATATCCGTAAATTTTCGTTTCTGTCCAGTATTCTAAGAAAATCAGGATAGCCGAAGACTTCCAACTATCCTTAATATCAAGTTTACAAGAAAGGATCTTCCTTCTATTCTAACTATACTATTCCTAAAATCAGAAAATAAAAATTTAAAAAATTATTTTTATAATTTTTCAATATTTTGCACTTTTCTTAAAAGGTATTTTATTATTCTCGATTATATCGGTCATTTTATTTGGCCGTTAAAACAAACATAAAAATAAATATAACATTTCAATATTAACATATATTTCCTCCCGTTAATAGTCACCAAAAACGTTTTTATGTTGGCGTCCTTCCAGTCGTTGATGGTGGTCACCTTTTCATTATCGGCTGGTTTAAACGTTTTGTCCTATAAAAATTTTTTTTCTCTCGTTTACCACCCTATACAATAATATAGGTAAATTTTTATTTCTCTAAATGATAGTATGTACAAAATGTCCATTGACTGATATGTCCACCAGTTTTAATAACGTACACTTTTCTTCTTCAAGTCTTCCTGTTCCTGTTCTTCTTCTCCTAGTTCTTCAGTTACTTTATCCTCCTTTCTAACTTCACTTATTCATCACATTTTTCGTTTAATCCTCTTCATGATCCGCTTCATCGTTATCGCCCCTTCTATCATTTTCTTCTTTCCCTCTTCCCTCCTCGCCTTCCACCCTTCCACCTCCCCATATTACTCAATATCTTCCTCACTGTCCTCTTCAATATCTTCTTCAACTCTTACATTTTCTCATCTTATACCTTCCAAACCCTTCTTCCGTTCTTAAATTCTTTTATCCTTCCCCTCCTCCTATTCTTCATTCTCCAATTCCTTTACTTGAAAAATGCGGCTGGCAGCTATGGCAATAGTTTTTATATAACGGACATAGTAACAACTGGGTGGCAGTGAGTGGACATTGGTCACACGCTTCCGTCCACCCTCTCCTCTCTCCAATATTTTTTCAAAAACTTGCACTTTTCTTTTGCACTTTAATCGTCCTTTTTATAGTTGCGGCTGGCACGAACTGACGCCGACCGTTGGTATTTTTGAGTTTGTGCCAAATCCAACAAAAACGTTTGGACATGTAATTCTTTGAAAAAGAATGCAAAAAAGAAAGAAAATAAGAGAACTCACAGAAATTGAGGAAATAAAGCAAAAAGAATTGAAAAAAGGAGCAAAAAGTGCAAAAGATTGGGGGACTTTAGCAAGAGTACACTGCAGTCTTTAATTTATATCTTTGGAATGGATGGACCGATTTGAATGATTTTTATATCATTCGATAGAGAATTAAATGGACTATAAGACTTGAGAAAATCAGAATTTTAAATAAAGAAACAAAAAAGTTATGGTCAAAAACCCCTAAAAAATGCCTGAAAATGTTAATTAAATGACTACAACTTTTTTCGCCAAAAATATAAAATTTCCATTTAACTTTCATTTTATAGCAAATTTAATTCTCTATCCAATGATACCAAGATCTCCTGAATCGGTTCATTCAATCACAAGTTAGAGGTCATTTACTCAACCGACCTCCTATCTCAAACTTTCAACGTCGGCACCGTTGGCCTTAGTGACAGCTGCCACTAGCCAATGTCCACGCTAAGAGAGTTTTTCTTTTAAAATAAAAAGGGGGTGGACAGTGGGAACTACTAAACTGATTTTCCGTCCGTCCGTGTGCCATTCGAGTTGGGCAATAATTTGTGGCTTTAAGAGAGGAGGAAAAAAATTTATTTTTAAAAAGCTTCTGCTTACTTGAGATTTTATAAAAACTTTTTTAAAAGACAATTTAAACTTAAAAATATTTTTTTCTAAACGAGCTATATTTCATTTAATTCTACTTCTAAAAAATATTTTTTCGAAAATTAATTTTAATTTTATAGCCGTCTTCTTCCACCCGACAAACACATCTCTATTCTAAGTAAGAGTATTATCATCCTTTGGCCATTCTGTGTGCATGGACATTGCCCAATCCATTTTTTAACATAAAGCTCTTCCTTACACATTTTCTTTTCTTTCATTTTTTAAAATTCTTTGCCCTGAGGCTGTTCTATTTAGACAGCTATTGAATGCCCTCTACTGGTAATTAAAATTCGCTCAGTTGTGGTGCAGGTTTTTTATGGTTTTTAGAGACAGACAGGATTAAGTTCTGGAGCTTTTGTTGTAAAAAAGACAAGGAACTTGTGGTCTTGTTTTAGTAGCAGGTTCTAGGACTTAGTCTATTGAAGGACACACGACCTGAGACAGTCGGAAGTCTTAGGAATAGTCCAAAAAGGAATCAATTTTTGCGATTTGAAGATGATCCCGAGCTTAATCCTGATGTGTACTTTCCCCTGCCTCGTATTCCCGAATGGTCCTTTTGGGGGTTTCTCTTCTCTTTTAGTCACAGGTCCTAGGACATATGTAGTCTATCCACAGGGCTCCCGATCTGGGAATGATTTCAAAAATCCTGAGTTTATTCCGGTATGTCTATTATTCGATCCTAATTGTTTCATGATAAAAAGGACCTATCCGCATTACCCCCCAATCTGTGACAGATCACGAAAACCCTTATTTAATCCTGCTGCTTTACTCCCCGGAAAAGACCACCCTTATGATCCCGTATCGAATTTTTACGAACATATTTAAAAGCTTTCCAAAGTCCCTCCACAAATAAAGGCATTACAAGCCATAAAGCTTCATTGAAGCCTTTACCATATTCCAAAAAATATACGGGCACATGCCAATGCTTTAAAATATGTATTTATTTCCAGCTAGTAAATTTCATTCTCTATTTTTTTTTCAATTTTCTCTCGCTTTCAATGTCCATTTTTGCCTTATAAACGTCCATTTTCTACCCCAAAGTCCACTAGTATATTTTTCTTTTTTTTTCTTTTTCTTGTCAAAAATATAAAATATAAAAAGTACAACAAAATTTTGCTTAGCTATCGGCCATTTCTTGACAGCCTTTCCTCTTATTTTTTAAAAATAAAAGTAAAAACCTTTCTCGAATATTTTTTGCTTGCATGTAAAAATAAGGAAAAAAATAATTTTCTGAGAACTCTTTTTTAATTACTTGTTTTTTTTTGAATTTATTTTTACCCCTTTTTTAGGTGCATATTTTCTTTATTAGTTCAATTTTTTGTTAAATTGGGAAAATAATAAGATTAAAGTTACAAGTCAAAGTCCGGGTCCATCCTTGGAGTTTTCTAAAATAGCTGGGAAAGGGTTAGGGTTGTTTTTTATTATTATTGGGGGAGTAGAAAGGAAGGGTTGTTTATTTTGAGGGGATGAAGAAGATTAGGAGTCTTATAAAGTTCTCTTACATATGGAGGAAGTTAGCAATGTGTTTGAAGGTGATATTAGCTACTTAGGTGTCCGAGGGTGAGGAACGGGGAGTTGAAACATTTAAATTTTAAAGCATACTTGAATCTTAAAAGAATTCTTATCTTGAATCGCGGTATGCTTCTACCCTTCTCTTAAAATTGAGCCTACTTTAAACGAGGGGCTCTACTTCCAATTTAGAGCCCCCGTTCCCTCAACAAACCCTTCCTCCATGAAAATGATTTTGAATCCTAGTATGTTTCTACCTTCCATTAAAATAGAGCCTGTTTTAAACGAGGGGCTCTACTTAAAATTCTTAGGGCCCTCGAACGGTTAACCCTTCCTGCCATGAAAATGAGACCTTTAACCACCTAATGATATTTTTAATTTTATTAAATTATAAGAAAATTATTCCAATTTACCTCTTTTTCTATAATTAATAGATTAACAATTAATTATCAAAAAAATGTTTATTTAAATTAATTAAAAATAAAAATTGTTTAAATGGTGATTGAGACACAGTCTCAATCACAACAATCAAAACAACCAACACAACAACCTCCAACATTAATAAATATATCAACAGCACCATTACTAACTCCAGAATCTACTCTAAATTTAGATCAACACCCTTCTGCTTTTAATCGTGTTGGGAGAGGAATTAATAGTGCAATAGGTAAGGGAAAGCTGTGGGAAACATGGAAATTTAATTTCTTTGAAAATTGATAACTTTTCGAGCTTATGTGATAAAAAAATGATTTTAGGGGATTTTGTAGATATGGATGTGCTCTTTCTTTCAAAATTAAAATTAAATTTTTTTGATGATTTGACCTAAAATTATTGGGTTTATTGCATGTCAGTGTCCGCCTAATAGCCTAGTTGGCGTTATTTAAGAATTGATAACTTTTCGAAATTTTAATAGAAAATTATGATTTTTGGTATTTATATAGAACAGAATCTGCTCTATTTTCTTATATATAAAGGAAAAAATTTCAGCATACTTAAAAAAATTTTGAGAAAATTTTTTAATAGTCACTGAGTCTTTTTATTAATTCCAATTTTCTTCTCCCAAAAATTTTTTTGCTCTTTTAGAATCTTCAATTAGCAATCAAAATTCTCTGCAACAATGCGACAATTCTACAAGTTCATCTACTTCAATACCTATAGGTTTGAAACACCCTCCAACTTCAACGCATGGGACTACGCAACAGCACAGAATGCTACTAGAGTTGATACAAAAGGTGGGTAGAAAATTTTTAAAATTATTTTTCAATAATTTTCCCTATCTTTTTAAATTACTTATAATTTTTATAAAATTTCTAAAAATTAATTTTAATCACTTATGGCTTTTCTCTCATCTCTCGTTTCTCTAACCGTCTCTCACATTTACATTCTCTCTCACCCTGATTTTATTTTTTCGTTAAAAGAGCAGAATTAAATTTGATCACGTGTGCCTTTACCTTCAACTTCTGATCACTCATAGCTTTTCTCTCCTCTCTCGTTTCTCTAACAGTCTCTCACATTTACACTGTCTCTCCCACAAATATTTTATTTTTTCATTTAAAAAGAAAAAAATTAATCAAATAAAAATCTATTTAGACGAACGATTAAAAAAACAAAAAAAAACAATTGGAATTAAAAAATGTCAAATAATATATATTTAATGTCCATTTGCTGCAAAAAATATAATTTTTTTCTTCAACTATATTTTTGCCAGCCGTGTCTGTTCGCGGACGAACACAATTGTGAAAAAATTGTTTTTCGTTTTTGTGTTTTTGTCTCCTTCAAAGAAAATGACTTTTCATCTTTTTTAAATTTATTTGTTAGATTTATTTTTTATTTTTTTTTTCTAAAAAATGTCTGTCCAAAATTCTTTGTGAGTAACCACAATACTTCTACTAAGATTTTTAAAATTGTAAATATTGCATGTAATTGTAAATTACTTAAAATTAATTATAAAAAGAATAAATTCCAATAATAAAATACCAGAATTATTTGTAAATGTTAAGTATACTTTAAAGAATTTTGGGTCAGATAATCTTGAGGTGGGGAACCTTCCAATATCCGCCATCTACCATCGACAATTTATGCTCAATTTATGGTGATGGCATGCAAAAAAATTGGCAGGTCGCAAGTTGATTCTGGCAATTGATAGGTATTGGAACAGCTTTCTTTGAATCGGCGATTTGCGTCTGAATTCTGGCCATACTTCTTGCAAAAAGCTGTTGGTTCTGGATCGAACCGAACCAAGGAACCGAGGATTTTTCGATTAGGTTCTTCGGTTCGGTTTCAGATATCCGAAAATTTTCCAGGAGCCGACAACCATATCTTGCCCCCTAGTAGACTGCGAAGATCAAATTGTAAAATCAGAAATTTGTAAAATATCAGAATCCAATTGTATTTTAGCTAAATCAAGTAAATAACCCTTCAATTAGAACCGGAAGCATTCCCATGTGAACTTCCTCATTCTAACATTTTTTATTTAAAAAAATATGTGAATGACCATTCAAAAAATATCCTATTTTTTCCACTTAGATGTATTAAAGGATTAAATATTTTTTTGAAAGATATATAAATAAGGAAATATTTATTTAAGTGAAATTAAATATAAATATGTTTACTGTTATTTAAAAAGTAAATTTGTGTGTATTTTTATTTGGATAAAAAAATGATTAACGATGTTTAGAACATACGTATTATTATTTAAATAAAAATAAAGAAAAGGAAGGATATATGTATTTTTAGAATTTTTGCAAGTTTTGTGATTTTACAATAGGCCCGGAGGCATTTTAGAAAATTTTAGGATCGAAGACGGAAGCGCAAAGGACCACATCCTTGGTTACCCCATCTCTGGTGATGACCTTATCCGTGGTTATGACCTCATCTCTTGTTACCCCATCCATGGTGATCACTGGCAAAAGACCTCCCATCACTGATTTTCAGCTAAATTCAATTTTAAATTTTCTGATTTTTTGTAATTTAATTCCCTTTTTATTTTTTTTTGAAATCTAGTCTTAATCATTCACAATTACAATCTTGGTTATAAAAATAATTTTTAGTGTTTTCTGATCAATTTTAAAATTTACCTATTTTTATTTTTAATATTTTTTTCATTATTTGTCATGTTTCATTATTCTAATATTTTCACAAACCTTCCAAATTACACACACATATATATTCTTATTTATTTGTTACATTTTTATTTATTGTTAAATACAATTGGTCCGAAAATGACCAATGCTTTTTTGTACAATTTTCTTTATTTTCACAAAAATACAAAGCATTTTCATTCATTTATTCTTTTCTGATCGCCGCTGTCAGAATTAAATTTGCATAATAATATAATTTTATTAAATTTATTTTTTATAATTTTCTTTACTGTTATCATTTAGACTAATCTAAATTATATTCTGATTTATTAAAAATATTTATTTTCTAGGAAAATTCTGATTTGTAAATATATTTCTGACTTGTATTCTCGTATTTGTAAATTATCAGAATTTGTAAATTACCAGAATTTGTAAATTACCAGAATTTGTAAATTACCAGAATTTGTAAAATTTTCAGAATTTGTAAATTACCAGAATTTGTAAACTACCAGAATTCTCTTTGTAAAACTTCTGATATTATTTTTAATTTAATTTCAGAAGAATCACAAATTGTAAAATACAAAGGTAAAAATTACAAATTCTGATAAATTAGAAACCTCAATTGTAAACTACCAGAATTCTGATATTTACAATTTGTAAAATATCAGAATTATTAAATATCAGAATTTGTAAACGATCAGAATTGTAAAAAATCAGAATTGTAAATTATCAGAATTTAATTGTAAACTTGATTCTGGTAGTTTACAATTATTTGTAATTCAATTCTGTCAATCGTAATCGACCAGAATTAAATTTATAAACAAATTCTGATACAAACCACAGTATTCTAAAATAACAGAATTTAATTGTAAACTTAATTCTGATATATTTTACAATTTAATTATTTCAGAATAAGTATGTTTTCTATTCCTCCATGGTTGTAAACCATTAAAATATTTTTTACAAATTTTAAATATTAAATACAAGCCTTTTAAACATTCTGATTTTATATATAATTTATATATTTTATTATCCCTTTGTTCAAATTTTGAATTTTACAAAACTGAATGGGATTTTTGAAAGGAAAATTGCGCAAAATTAATAAAAGTCTCTTCCATTATTTAACTTGTTTTTAGGGGGATCGTAAAAGTGAAAATTATTTAAAAAGGTCGACTGGCTTATAAAATTTTTTTTCAAAATTAAAAACTCGTAATGCGCACAATGATTGTAAAATCTTTTTTTTTCTTTTTTATAATTTATTTTTAAATTCTCTCCGAATATCCCCCGGCTGTTCCCTACAACCAACCACTCCGATCTCTCCCTTCCTTTACTTACACCTTCTATTCAGTCCGGATAAATCTAAAAATTTTTTCGCAACAATTTTCTCCTTCTTCTCCTTCAAATCCGGTTTTATTTTTGCAAGTCTCTGTTCTCTTCCCTCTACTGCACTTTCCTCCTTTTCTTTTTTTCAAAAATTCTCTTTCCAAAAATCTACATAAAGGTAAGGGGAATGTCCATTTATTCTTGTTGGCGATCTCCCTAAAGGCGATCCATCAATTTAAATTTTACACAAAATTTTTCTTTTTCAAAATCCTCTCTTTTTCAAAATTTTCCCTCAAATATTCCCCTTTTTATTTATTTTAGAACTGGTTCCAAAAAGTTTCCCTCTAAAAACACACTTTTCCCACTCGACGCTTTCTCTTTTTTTCTATTGAGCAATTTAATGCTGCGCAACCTTTAAATATTTTAAATCCCAAAATTTATATTTTTGGATAAATTAGGTTCTTTTTAACGAAAAAAATGCAAATTTTCTTTTCTATATACAAATCCTTCCAGTCGCAACTTTTAAAAACTTGAAAATAAAATTGCGCTAATAAAATATAAAAATTTTCTCAATAAAAAAAAGAGAAAAAAATTTTACAAATCAAAAACATTCAAAGCTTCAATTGTAAGCTTCTCTCAAAAATTATTTTAGGTTTGTAATTTAAGTTAGCAACAAACTAGCAAATTTATTAAAAATAATTTTGCTTCCAATATTAACTTACTTAGGTTGTACCATAAATAATGGACCCCCTTGAGTTAAAACTTTATAACTTTTTTATTCTTCTTAACCGATTTACCTATTTTCTTTTTTATTCTATTAACAAGGATGTTGTCTATCTTTGGTTCAAATTTTCCGCTTGAAACTTAAAGATATCAGATTTTTTTCGAGGTAACAACTCAAGGGGGCTCATTATTTATGTTACAGCCTGAGTAATAATTCTCACAGTAAATCCCCAAAAATTATCTAAAATTAAAAAATCTATTCTACAAGTACATATACTACTCTATAATCTATTTTTGTATACATTTTTAGATAAATAAATATCCATACAAAAAAATGTTCGTTATATCGCTGCGCGTTCGTTGTTCGCGCGATATCTTTCTCTCATTTATTTATTTTTTCCGCTCCCAATCGGAGAGATTTTTTTTTGCTTCTTCCTCCTTTGTGGGTGGTTCCTTTGTAATTTTTATTTAGAGCTGTACTTTTATTTTTATAAATAAATAAAAAAAATAATTCGGCTGTTAGTACGAAGACTAAATATATTTTTGTGATCATCCATCTCTCCCTTCAAAAAAATTTTTTTTTCTCTCTATAACATAGCCGCCGGCGCATTCCACACAGGCAAACACTGAACATACGCAAAAAACATCCGAGCGAACAATCATTCCTTTGGATTTTTAATACTACTAGTCATTTTCTGCTTTGATTTAATTGCGGAATTTAATTTTGCGGAT